GCGCGGCGAGGATGATTTAAGCTCCAACAGCCAGCTGAGCAGTAAACCACCGCCTTCGCTCTGTAATGACGGGGAAGGAGCCGGATAATGCCACAGCCGACCCTGAGCTCCCCCGCCGACGTTCGGCTACATTTTAAAAAAACTTGTGAGTGACGAAGACAGAAGCAGGAGGGGAGCAGCAGCTCCTTCCTGCTCCCTCGCTCCTCACATCCTGCCTGTGAATCTGTTAAACCTCACACATAATCCTGATGGCGGCTCCGTGAATTTACACTTCAAAGCCTAATTTAGCTGTTGATTAGCTGGAGCCGACTTCACCCAACGTTTAATGTTCCTCTGATGAGCATCTGCTGTCTCATGCTTTCTTTGCTGAAGATGCTCACCTGACTGTGCATGACAAATGTATCCAATCACCCAGAAGCTATAATATATACGAGTTTGTCTTTTAGCAAAAAAGCTTGTGAACTAACGGAGGGGTTCCCAACTCTGGTCCTTGAGGAACACCCTCCTGCATGTATTAGTTGTTTCTGCTTCAACACACCTGATTTGAATAAATGAGTGGCTTACAGGCTTCTGCAGAACATGAAGTAATTAAATCACTGAATCAGGTGTGGGAGCAGGGAAACAACCAAAACATGCAGGATGGCGTTCCTCAAGGACCAGGGTTGGGAACCAGTACTGATTTTAACAAAACCTTCAGGAAGTGATTAGATGTACCTGTACAACTGACCAACTCATGGAGCCAGTCCAATATAAGATGGCCGCCATGTATAATGAACATTAGCCAACACAAATCATGACATTTACAAATATTAAGCTGATATCTGACGTGGTAGTAGCTGAGAGTTATCCCCAACAGTTACTCCGAGCGTGAAGTCGTTTTAAATCATTAATGGTTTGACCAACACATTTTCAACATAAGCGGGCAATATGCATTTGTTAATTTTTATATATATTTTTTTTAATAACTGTCTTTTTTCTTTGCATCGCAATATAAGACCAGACTGTTGGTTCAAACAAAAAGACTCCGACGAGCGACGGACCTGGAGAGCGGGTCGGGTCAGGAGCCAGACTCGTCGAGGTGAGGAGACCAGCATGATCCACGCATGAGGAGGCGGCATGGTCCGCCCCGAGGCATTCTGGGAGAGTATTAATAAACCTGCGGGACTTGCTGCCAGATGGATTATCATCAACACAGTTACTATCCAGGATGGTAAAAACTCATTGAAGTGTTGTCATGGTTACTACGAAAATGTGACTAAAATAAACATCTAAAGGACACGACTCCATTAAGGTCCTCGGATCGTTTTCAAATTAATTCTGACCTGTTCTTGCTTCAGTACGATGCGTTCACCTGCCTCGAGTTTTAAGTGATTAGCTCATCGCTAACTGCTAAACTTCCCGTTTCCCCCTGACTTCGAGGATGATTCCCAAACGTTCAGCTTTTTAAGGACACAAACGTTGCTAATTCATCCCCTAAAGGAATGCATATCACCCGCCGTCCTGCAGGCCCAAGATTTTTGTCATTTTGTGCTTGCTAAGGTTGAGTACGGTACAAGTACAACAAATAAACAGAAGAAGAAACATCAGTCTTCATTATGAGAGCTAAACTTTTGCTTTCCAGACTTTGGCTGCCTTCTGACAAAACAGCCGAAGAGACCAAAGTCAATGTTGAGCTGTGAACTACGTCTGCTGCGGTGCCACAGCAACATCGCGGCGTCGGCTCCGAGTGGCTCCCGCCAACTCAATGAGGCGAGGTGTCACAGCCGAGCCCCCCCCCCCCCCCCCCCAAATGGTAGTTTATTAGATATTTTGCTAACAGACAATCAGGACTGACACAAACAGTTAACGTGAAACCGCTAAGCAACAATGTCACACAACTTGTAGCACTCAAAGCATGAGTTGAGGATGAATCTCGGCTACTACCACACTAGATTTTAGCTAAATATTTATAAAACTGACTGAGTTGAAGCCAATTTAGTGTTTGCTGAGGTCGATTAGATGTGGCAGCCATCTTTAATTTAAGTGACTCCGAATCCAACGGTTAATTTATAAGAGTTTCGTTAAATTCTTTCTGGTGGTTCATGAGATATTTTGCTAACAGACAACAACCAAATAATGCACATGGGAGCTCAAATAAACTAATTTTAGATTTAAATTTGTCATCAACAAGTTCATCTCCGGCACTTTGATTCAATCAGAAAAGGTTTCCTGCATGAGGTCTGCTGGACATCGACCGGCTAAAACAAAAAGGTCACCGGTAATTTGCCATTCATTCCTTAGGAAGATTACCGGGATCATTAGCAGCTGCAGCTAGCCTCTCCTGCTGGGGGGAAGCAGACAACTGGGTCTGGGCAGAACTGGTCCTCCTGATGGACACATTAATATTTAATGTCTTCATTCAGCAGGCTGACATCATGGCGAGTTGACACTCAGAGCAGATATTTAATTCTAGACTCGATGTCTGGCTGTATCTAACGGCTTTAAACGGTTTAAAAATAAACGTGGAGACAGACTTACTGTTTCATTTGACCCATGAGTTCAGGACCAAAGTGATAAACTTAATTACCGGCACATTTTCACAGTAAAGAAGAGGTAAATCAAAAACTGTGGGCATGCTTTCAAATGTTAGCCTATTGCTATTAGCCTTTTCGCCAACAACATTATTAGCTTTTATGCTAACAGCATAGTTTAGCCATTACGCTAACAGCATCGTTCAACCTTTACGCAAATAGTATCGTTTAACCTTTATGCTAACAGTATTGTTTAACCTTTACACTAAAAGAATAGTTTAGCCTTTACACTAACAACATTATTTAGCCTTTACGCTAACAGTATCGTTTAGCCATTATGCTAACAGCATTGTTCAACCTTTATGCTAACAGCATAGTTTAGCCTTTATGCTAACAGCATAGTTTAGCCTTTAGGCTGACAGTATTATTTAGCCTTTACGCTAACAGTATCGTTTAGCCATTATGCTAACAGCATCGTTCAACCTTTATGCTAACAGTATTGTTCAACCTTTATGCTAACAGTATTGTTTAAACTTTACACTAACAGCATCGTTCAGCATTTACGCTGACAGTATTATTTAGTCTTTACACTAACAGTATAATTTAGATTTTACGCTAACATCATAGTTTAGCCTTTATGCTAACATCATTGTTTAGCCTTTACACTAACAACATAGTTTAGCCTTTACGCTAACATCATTGTTTAGCCTTTACACTAACAGCATCGTTCAGCCTTTACGCTGACAACATTGTTGAGTCTTTATGCTAACAGCATCGTTCAGCCTTTATGCTAACAACACTGTTTAACTTTACACTAACAGCATCGTTCAGCCTTTACGCTAACAGCATCGTTTAGCCTTCATGCTAACAGCATAGTTCAGCCTTTACGCTAACAACATTGTTGAGTCTTTATGCTAACAGCATAACGTGTCTGTGTATATGCCTTTTTGTAAGCAAAATATTTCATGAGCCGTTGGACAGAATTTAATAAAACTCAGAAAATAATAATCGGGTGTATAACCTTTGGGAGTTAGCCCATTTCAAGATGAAGCTAATCAAAACTAGCCAACACAAAAATGGCTACAGCGCGGTCAGTTTTTCATACATTAACCTGAAATTTGGCTTGGTAGTTGCTCAGAGTCATCTCCAAATCACACTCTGAGAATTAACGGATCACTAAATTCTTTGTTTAAACATTTGGCGATCAACCATGCCAGTTAGCGTGAGCCACTGGGCACATTTCGAATAAACTAATCAAACTAAAATCGCAGTAAATTTTTGCTTCCATCTTAAAATGGCTCCAATTACGAAATATTTATACAACGCGATTCGAAAAGCCTTCACACCACAGTCGGTTGTCGAGTCCACAGGCAGAGCCTACAGGCTGCACAGGAAGTGCTACAGCCGGACGCTACTGCAATTTATTTTGTTTTTCCCAAGTACCTACACACTTCTATGTTAAAAACCACACGGTGTAAAATAACGTCAGTGTGAATGAAGCGGCTCTCACATCAAACGCAATGAACACTTTCCGGGTTCGTTAGCGTCGTAACGCGGACGCTGTCCAGTCCAGAAAACAGCAACAATCTCAACAAACGTAGAGGTTTAATAAGCAGTGTTGTTGTTTTTTTACATTGTGAAGTCGTTTTGATCAAGAGTTCTTCAATAAGAACGACTCAGTGTTTTGTTTACATTCATTGCATACCTGCATTTCTAAGCTCCAAAACCAAATATCTGCTAAACTTTGGGTGTCAACTCTTCTTACTTTAGTTTAGTTAGTTTAGCCCCCCAGGGATCAGTAAAGGTGACATGTTCAGTTCATTTCAGGGACTCGAGATAATCCGAGTCAATTTTTAAAATGATGCGAGTCACTCGAGTCGTTCATTTCTGGTGGAATATTAATCTGACTCGGAGAAAAGACTCATTTGAGTCCACATCATTTAAAGACAGGACTCACGAGTCTGCAGCGTTTCTGGTGAGCCAGAAGTCCTCAGACTCGTGGACTTAGAGGAAGTCTTGCAGAGGACATGCAGGACCTGGTTCTGGTTCGACACCTTGGACTCGTGAGTCCTGATTCAGGATTCGGATCATTAACCCGCGTGAGTCAGTGACCAACCAGCCATGAACTGAAGCTGCAGACTAATAATCTGCTTTTGTTTAGTGAGATAAAGCACTTCCTGCTAAATAAAATAAAAATAATAAATATGTTTAATTAAATCTTTGTGTTATTGTCACAAATATCTGCATTGAAACCTCACCAGACTAACTTTAATGCAGCAGTAATAAAATTAAATACGGACCCCCTCCCTTATCCTGCACCCTGAGCAGACCCGGACCACACCGCTCCCTGGACCAGGATCAGAACCCGAACCGGGACTGAGCAACAACCCATCCTAGGTTGTTTTTTCCTCCAAAGCCGCAGGAGACAACGAGCCACACAAAGGACCGGAGACAGAGACTGCACGCGGAGACAAACTGCAGCAAACGCACCTGAAGGTGATGAAGATGATGGACAAGTGTCGGATGATGACCCTCTTCCTCCTCCTTCTTCTTCTTCTTCTTCCTCGGGCGCTTCTTCTTCTTCTGCACTCAGACTTGTGGTCCTCCTCGGCTCGTCTCTCTCCTCCCCCGGTGCATGATGGGAACACGAGGGCTGGAATGGCTTCATTGCTGCAGCCTCGCGCTGGTTGGCTTGTAAATTAAATCACATTTAAAAGGATCAAACTTAAATGTGAAACGTGAGAAATTAAACTAAAATGTGAGTCAAATATCCAGCATCACACTTGACTCGTCTTTTACAGTATGAAAAAATAAAAAAGATCAAAAGAAAACTTTATAAGACTTTTTATACAGCTTTAGTTTTACAGAAAATTAACCAAAAATATGCTAATGAGTTGTACAACAAAACATAACGATACATATTTAGGGGACAGTATGTTAAGACAGATAAACCGCCATTTTTGTGTTTGCTAAGATGGTGGTGGCCATCTTGAATTTAATAAAATGAGCGTTAGCATAAACGAATTAGCATAAATTAAAATAAAAGCTTAAATTAGCCTAACCATAGCTAAAAACTAAAATGAACAAAACTGTAACAAACCAGTTTTGATTTGCATAATTATATAAAAGCTCAAATTAGCCAAACCTTAGCTATAAACCTAATCTGATTGGCATAAATTATTCTAAATGCTAAAATTAGCCAAACCTTAGCTAAAAGCTAATGAACAAAACTAATATCTAAAATCAAACATTAGTAAAACCTTAGCTAAATCTAAAAAAAATGTAACCGACCAGTTATGATTAGCGCAAGTATAGCTAAAAAAAGAAAATTTGCCAAATCTCAGCTGCGTATAAATGAGCTAAATTTTAGCTAAAATATCAAACCAGCCAAACTAGCATGCCTAAAAGCTAAACTTAAAGCTTTAGCTAACAGGTAAATTAGATAAAACTGTAGCCAACCAAATGATTAGCAAAACTGTGTCTAAAAGCAAAAATTAGCAAAACTTTAATGAAAAGTTTGTTAGCTAAACCATAACTAAAGATCCAATTAGTTGGGCAATTAAATGCAGCTAAAAGATAAACTTACCAAAACCTTAGATAAGTTAGAATTATCACAACTTTAGTAATGTGTTGTATAATTGTAGCAAAAAGCTAAACTAGTCGAATCAAAGCTAAAACTAGAAGAACCATTGAT